AAAAATACACGAAAGTAAAAAAAAAAAAAAAAAAAAAAAAAAAAAAACATTGTACACCTTTGAAAGATCTACAAGACTACAACCCTATATTTTTTACTTTTTTTCTGTTTTTCTTTTAGCCCTTAGAAAATCTCTGTGACACCCCCAAAAAAAAAACCATGTCATTTCTTGTTTTTGTTTTTTCTTCATTGTGCTTATGTTTTTGATTTTTTTTAAAATATATATTCAAAGCTCAAAAAATAAAAATAAAAATATGGGGTTGCAGAACTCGAAAAGATCTACAACCCCCTTTTTGTTTTTTTTTCTGATTACGTTTAGCTCAGGAAAAAAATCATTGCAGACCCCGTTTTTCCACGTCTAACGGGCATTTGAACAGGATTCAACGCGAATTCAACGCGCGTTGAATAATTCAACGTGGAACCCGCGTTGAATCCAAATCGGACTCTTAGACTATAAGGAGAAGTTGAGGATGTCCCCTAGGGTCTTCCGGGAGATCGTGGAGGCGTTGTCCCCTCATCTGCAGCGGAGGGTAACATTCTACAGGGGGCCTTTGATGCAGGATCACATCATCGCGTACGCGCTTTATCGTTGGGCGAGCGGAGAGACATATGAGAGCAGCACATCGCCATTCGGCATAGGATGCCCATCATGCTAGATTGCGGTGGAGGACGTGACTCGGCCGCTTCTGAGGGTGTACCGGGAGAAGATCGTTTGGCCTTCGGGGTTGCGGCGGGTGGTCGTTCTGTGTGCCTTCGAGGCGAAGGGTTTCCCCAACTACTATGGCTGCATAGACTGCACGCACAAATATGTCGACAAATTGGGGAACGCACCTTCCGAGAACTACTTTGATAGGAAGCATCGTTTTTCGGTTGCTGCGCAGGTGGTGGTGGACTTGGACTTGCGTGTCACAGACGTTTTCGTCGGGTATCCCAGGAGTTGCCACGACATTCGGGTGCTTCAACTTTCTAGTTTGTGGGCGCATGCGGAGGAGGGGGATCTTTTTCGTGGACCTGCCGTGGTGCTGTCGTTCAGGGTGAAGACACACGGGAACATCCTCGGGGATAACGACTATCCTCCTATGGAGTGAATCGTCGTGCCTTACGGAGGGACCGATCAATGCGCCGACGAGGAGAGGTTCGACAACAAGCAGAAGGTCGGCAGAGGAGCAGTGGAGAGAGCTTTCGGAAGATTGAAGGGGATGTGGAGGCTCTTCCTCCATACACACAAAACGAATATGGACACTCTCCCGCAACAGTTCCAAGCAGTGTGTATTCTGCACAACATCCTCCTCGATGCTGGCATAGACTTCAACGAGAACTTGCTGTGGGAGGTGAACGCGAATGGCGTACAGCGGCGAGTGGACTTGGGCTTGGATCATCCTCCCCACCCCATTGCGAAGAACTTCAATCGTCCCCATGTGCTAGCCCTGCACGAAGCAATGGAGGAGCGTATGAAGCATGATTGAACGAGTGAAGTTCCCCACAACGGTAGCTTGTGCGTCGATCTCTCATGGAGGGCGAACGTGGTGATGTCCGGGATTTGAGGGGGGTTGTAGTGCTCAGGCGGTAGTGTCGTGCAGTGCGATTGCTGGCTGGCTCCCTGTATTTGGTTTTTTTTTTTTTTTCAATATAGTTTTGTTTTTTTATCCCTTTTTCTAGGCTTAGTTTTCTTCTACTCTCAAACATTGGAAGAGCAAGGGAGTGGTGCTCCATCACGTTCTTTGTGTGGACGATGGTATCGCCTTTGTTATGTGATTCATACACATATGTCTCCTTGCATGTCCTTCTGTCGCACCTTCAACAATTTCTTTGCGTGTGGACATGTTACGGTTGGATGCTGTGTCCTGAGAAATATTTTGTTCAATGTCATCTGCATGCGTTGGTTTATTTTCCGAGCATACACACATTGAATGCTTGAATTGCTCATCATTTTTGTTATTCTTGTTTGAAATGCGCATTTCGTTTCTCTGTCAGCCGCAATTCTGCAGCGCAGCAAACCTTTTGATCGATAAATGTTTTGGTGAGCACACCATAACTACATTCCTTCGACCGGACAATCAATCAATCAATCGATCATTCAATCAATCAACGCATCACAGTAAATCAATCAATCAATCCATCACAGTAAATCGGTCGGTCGGTCGGTCGGTCGGTCGGTCGGTCGGTCGGTCGGTC